GTGGTCCGAGCCTAATGACAAATTCATTTTTAATCATCACCAGCTACCCCGTAGGCAGAGACTTAATGGCAAAACTGCAAGTGACTATGAGAATTTACCCCAAAGGTGGTATGATAGTTGACTCCCCTGATTGTTTTACACCCTCACACATTTTAACAATTGCTGTCTAAGCTATGAGAACTGACTTCCATGCTTTATGGTTGCCAGATGATGATTGTTGTTTTGTGACTGTGCAGTAAGATAACCATATTGCTACTTTTGGATTTTGTCTGAATTTATACTGGATGCACCAGGAAGAGTAGATGATCTAGTAGATATTCATGGGCTATGACCCTTCCTCCGGTTAAGTTTGCTCTAGGGACCACTCCTATTTGTACAGTTGCAAGAAAAAGTATGTGAACCCTTTGGAATGATATGGATTTCTGCCCAAATTGGTCATAAAATGTGATCTGATCATCATCTAAGTCACAACAATAGACAATCACAGTCTGCTTAAACTAATAACACACAAGGAATGAAATGTTTCCATGTTTTTATTGAACACACCATGTAAACATTCACAGTGCAGGTGTAAAAAGTATGTGAACCCTTGGATTTAATAACTGGTTGAACCTCCTTTGGCAGCAATAACTTCAACCAAACGTTTCCTGTAGTTGCAGATCAGACGTGCACAACGGTCAGGAGTAATTCTTGACCATTCCTCTTTACAGAACTGTTTCAGTTCAGCAATATTCTTGGGATGTCTGGTGTGAATTGCTTTCTTGAGGTCATGCCACAGCATCTCAATCGGGTTGAGGTCAGGACTCTAACTGGGCCACTTCAGAAGGCGTATTTTCTTCTGTTTAAGCCATTTGTTGATTTACTTCTATGCTTTGGGTCATTGTCCTGTTGCAACACCCATCTTCTGTTGAACTTCAGCTGGTAGACAGATGGCCTTAAATTCTCCTGCAAAATGTTGTGATAAACTTGGGAATTCATTTTTCCTTTGATGATAGAAATCTGTCCAGGCCCTGATGCAGCAAAGCAGCCAAAAACCATGATGCCCCCACCACCATACGTCACAGTTGGGATGAGGTTTTGATGTGCGTGTGCTGTGCCTTTTTTTCGCCACACATAGTGTTGTGTATTTCTTCCAAACAACTCAACTTTGGTTCATCTGTCCACAGAATATTTTGCCAGTACTGCTGTGGAACATCCAGGTACTCTTGTGCAAACTGTAAACGTGCAGCAATATTTTGTTTGGACAGCAGTGGCTTCCTCTGTGGTATCCTCCCATGAAATCCATTCTTGTTTAGTGTTTTACGTGTTGTTGATTCGCTAACAGGGATGTTAGCATTTGCCGGTGACTTTTGTAAGTCTTTAGCTGACACTCTAGGATTCTTCTTCACCTCATTGAGCAGTCTGCGCTGTGCTCTTGCAGTCATTTTTACAGGACAGCCACTCCTAGGGAGAGTAGCAGCAGTGCTGAACTTTCTCCATTTATAGACAATTTGTCTTACCGTGGACTGATGAACAGCAAGGCTTTTGGAGATACTTTTATAACTCTTTCCAGCTTTATGCAAGTCAACAATTCTTAATCGTAGATCTTCTGAGAGCTCTTTTGTGCGAGGCATCATTCGCATCAGGCAATGCTTCTTGTGAAAAGCAAACCCAGAACTGGTGTGTGTTTTTTTATAGGGCAGAGCAGCTGTAACCAACACCTCCAATCTCATCTCATTGATTGGACTCCAGTTGGCTGACATCTCACTCCAATTAGCTCTTGGAGATGTCATTAGCTCTTGGAGATGTGAACTAGGGGTTCACATACATTTTCCACCTGCACTGTGAATGTTTACATGGTGTGTTCAATAAAAACATGGAAACATTTCATTCTTTGTGTGTTATTAGTTTAAGCAGACTGTGATTGTCTATTGTTGTGATTTAGATGATGATCAGATCACATTTTATGACCAATTTGTGCAGAAATCCATATCATTCCAAAGGGTTCACATACTTTTTCTTGCAACTGTATCTTACAGGCAATGTTAGAAGATACTTTTGTACCAATCGATACTATGTATGTACAGCAGTGTTACATGTCCACAGACACTTTCAACATCCCTGAAACTCTTGCATCGCTACCCTCCTCATTCATAGCAGGTTACATTCCATACTCCCCCTACCAAGCTGCATTGAAGCCCGACTTCTCCAGTATACATTAAACAATGCAGTAGTTCACTGTTGTAAACATCTGCAGTTGTAAACATCTGCAGCCTTTGTCAGCATTCTGGTCAACCCTGACACAAAAACCCCTGTTTGTGTTCAAGTATAAAGTATAAAGAGAGTGAATAAACGTGGAATAGATTACCCCTTGATTACTGTAACTCCCACAATACCTATTCCACTGTGGTATGTAAATCTATTGAGTCCTGGCATCCACTACAGTATGTGGTTTGCAGTCCAGATAAGGATTCCTGCCTTAAAGACTCATTATACATGCTCCAACACCTGGCTGATGCAGGGCACAAAGTGACTCTTAAAAAACTCCAGCTATGCCTTACCACTGTGCAATATTTGGGATTCACCCTCTCCCAAGGGCCAATGCAAATTATTCTCTGATCTGGTCCAGGCTATTGTGAACTTTCTCAGCCTGACTACCAGACAGCTCTGATGTCCTTCCTCAACATGGTAACCATGATCATATTTTATGAGGCCACAAACCTAACAGGAGACTATTCAGTGCCCTCAAGGCTGCTCTCTGCTCTGCTCCTACTCTTGGGCTACCCAAACACACTCTACTCTTCCGCCTGTACTGCAATGAGAGTGAAGCCACAGCTGCTAGGGTCCTGGTAGTGGGTATCGGCCAGTGACATTTTATTCAAACTACCCCCTTCAGTGGTTCATGGAATGCTGGCTTGCTTGAGAGCAGTTGCTTCACATGCTATGATGGTAGAAGCAGCCCAGACATTAGTACTATTACGCCCACTTATTGTACACACTTTGCATACACAGCTAAACATATGATAGCTCAAATGAGATCAGCATGAGATCATGAGACCATCCTAACATCAACCCAACACCTCACCATCAAATATACCACTTCCCACACTGACCCTGTAGCACTCCTTTATAAGCTACTAACTGCACAAGGGCTGTCATAGAATGCACATTTATTTTCATATAATACACACATCACCCAGACATGACCTACAGACCGCACCACTGGACTATGGGGACATTATTTTATAGGTGGTTCATGTTTCTGTCCCATGGACAGTGTGTATCATAAAGCTTTTGCCGTTGTACAATTACCAGGCAGAGTATTAATGGCTAATTATATCCTTTTTGGCTCTTCACAAGCAGCGAGTTAGTAACACTTATGCACGCCTGCAAGCTATTTAAAGTAGCTATTTAAAGGGTTAATAGGCCCTCCCTCGTTGCCCTCCTCTCGCTGGGCTGAATGGGTTAAAACCCCTTCAGCCACTTACCTTAATCAAGCGCCGGGCTCCCTCGGCGCTGGTGACCTCTCCTCCCCCTGCCGATGTCAGCTCCGAATGCGTATGCGCGGCAAGAGCCGCGCATGCATTTAAACTGCCCATAGGAAAGCATTACTCAATGCTTTCCTATGGACGTCAGCATCATCGCAGGGTGATTTTCACACTGAGAATCATGGAAGTGGCTTGGTTACACCGGTCCCGCATCCTGATCCCATATGCGTGCAAATCGAGGCCTCATCTAAGGACCTGGATTATTGGGCACAACAAGGCCTGACCAAGGACCATACTGGTCTTTGGAAAGACAAGGAGACAAGGTCAGAGTACAGAATATTTAATACAGTCCTAACCTCAACATCTAAGAAATATTGATTTAGAGGTAATTATTTCAGATGACTTAAAGGAAGGTAGACAATGTAACAGAGCAGGAAATGCTAGCAGAATCCTTGGTTGTATAGGGAGTCGTATTATCAGTAGAAAGAGGGAAGTGCTCATGCTATTGTACAGAGCACTGGCGAGACCTTACTTGGAGTATTGTATGCAGTACTGGAGACTGTATCTTCAGAAGGATATTGATACTTTAGAGAGAGTTCACAGAAGAGCTACTAAACTGGTTCATGGATTATAGGATAAGACTTACCAGGAAAGGTTGAAGGTTCTTAACATGTATAGCTTAGAGCAGGCTTCCCCAAACTCCGGCCCTCCAGTTGTTGCTGAACTACAACTCCCAGCCTATCTATTTCATTCATAGAATCATGGGGGTTGTAGTTCAGCAACATCTGGAGGGCCGGAGTTTGGGGAAGCCTGGCTTAGAGGAAAGACAAGGGAAATATGATAGAAACATTTAAATACACAAAGGGAATCAAGGAAGCAACACAGTACAGAGGAGACTATATTTAAAAGAAGAAAAACTACCACAACAAGAGGACATAGCCTTAAATTAGAGAGGCAAAGGTTTAAAAAATAATATCAGGAAGTATTACTTTACTGAGAGGGTAGTGAATGCATAGAATAGCCTTCCAGTTGAAGTGGTAGAGGTTAACACCGTGAGGGAGTTTAGGCATGTGTGGGATAGGCATAAGGCTATCCTAGATATAAGATAAGGCCAGGGAATGTATTTAGAAGACTGAATAGACTAGGTTACTATGTAATATATTTTACAGCTCTGTACAATAGGGGAAATAACAGACATGTAGTTACAACAAAATAGGTTGGTTGTTCAGGGATTAAAGGTTCTGTGGGCCCTGCTTAATCGAGCTTTCATTCTAAGTGGAGTGGTAAATAATTACACAAATGGAACTTACTATTGGTTAATGTAAGCCTTTAGAAGTAGGTTGTCCAAAATGAGAAGCACAGACATTTTGTTTCATGAGAAGTCATGTATCACAAGCAATGTTTTTTTTTTTTTTTTTACTGTCCCCATGGAAACTATTAAACTTTCTTCCCCACCCCCAGTGTATTGTTTTTCTTTGGTCCCTCTTTCTTACCTATAAAAATATATATAATTTAAAAACACTTGACTTGACGCTAGATTTTCTTCTCATCCAGGCCATATAAAAAAGCCTGGCAGTGATGTCCTGCCTTTGGAAAGAAGCATGTCTATGTAAGACATATGCAAAGGCAATTGTACTGGGCATGTGAGATCTCGATGAGGATAGACTTGATGGAAAGGTGAGTATTGTGGGAAAATTATACTTTGACAAAGGAAGTGTAGCTTGCCTTAAACTCTTTGTCAAAATGTGTCAAGCATAGGAAAAATACAAAGTATAAAATACAAAAATACAAAGTAGTCCATTAGTAGTCTTATGTTTTTAAAGAAAAATAGATCAGAAAAAAACAAAATAACAGATTGTGAAAGAGAAAGGGAAGAAGGAATGACTGGAGAAAGGTAAGTTGAGAGTGACAGAGCCACTTTAAGATCATCAATAATGGTGACAGTCATTTAAATTATAATTTCCCTCCCCCAAATTCATGTACATATGTCCATTATAGAACTGCTTAAAATATTACTTCAATGAGTTTTGCGCTTAAATATGTTACATACCTGTTGCCAATATGGGTGAAATGGGTTGATTCCACTAGGATATGGAGGAAATATCTGTAGAGGAAACAGAGGCACATTTCATAGGATGCCATGGATATTTTAAACCTTTGTGATGCTGTATCTCACCTTGACAAGTTACTTAGATTACTTGAATTACAGATAAAATAGCTCGGTTCACTAAAAGTATGGCTATTACAGAGATTGGTGAGGAATGAGCTGAGAGCCGAGGGAGAATGTAATGACATGCAGTGAGACTGGCACAAAACAGCTCCTACATTAATCTTTTCCTCCTTGATTCTAACGTGGAATTCTATACTGGAAAAGGGGAGTTATCAAAACCTTTCATTTTACTCATTATGAACCTGATGTATCTGAAAATAAAAGTAAAAGCTCTGATAAAAAAAAAAGACAAATTAGTGTCTTGGATTACCTGTATGCTCTGTCTGGGCAGAGGGCAAAGTTTAGTAATGTCTAACAGAGAGCCATGATAGAGCCAATCAAATCCACGACAGAGCAATGTGGATCTATACATTCAATTATACACACACACCCATATTATTTAAACATAGGGAATACGTAACTAAACATAATTTTAAAAATCCATACAAGTGACTTTTTCCCTTTAAAGTATGAGCTTGTATATACTAAAGAAAATTGACTGAGCTCCATTATTGACTAAGTCACTTCTGGTGTTGGTAGACTCAGTGATTTGTAGCAAATGCAAACTTCAAATATGAGTGCAATAAATAATATTGCCAACAAATTCATGTTAGAAAAAGTGAATTTCAAATTTAAGGTCAAAATAGCTGAAGCCATAAAATCCTCCCAGTCAGCAATGCTTTCAGTGCAGCTACTTTGACCTTCAGCTTAAAATTAACTTTGAACTCCCTACAATTATACCTTTAGTGAATAACCCTGATAGTTGTCACTAGTTTCCAATGATTAAAAAAAGTTTTTAGAAAAAATATATATATTTTTAAATTGATATCAAAAAGATGAATGGCAGAGTTAGATCTGTTTGAAATTACACCTGGAGGTCTGAGATACTACAGCTAGAACTCTACCAACTGATCTATCACATTAGCTTTTCATTTATATAAATAAAAAAAAAAAAACAATAAATGGGCTCCTGTGTGTAATGTCTCTTTAAGCAATTATCAAACAAACAAATGTAAACTTTTTGCAAGTTAATGGAATGTCTACAAATAAAAGCCTTAAATCTTTATAGGTACCTTATATAAAAATGTTCATAATCATTAAAGGGGTAGCACGATACCAATACAGTTCATTGTTTACGTCATTCTACACATCTAGCTGCTCATTGATGATAGACTAAGCTATCAGCATTTTTGTGAAACTATTTTGCGGTGATTTGCAAAGCTGTGGCTCTCCTTGGCATCCATAGCTGTCTTCTTTGTTTATGTAATTTGTACAGTATACAAATAGCTTAGGAGGGATGTATCAGACTGAGGGTGCTGGCAGAGCCATGGTTTATGTCAGACTGGTTCAAATTGGTATGATAAAAAAATAAAAGACAGTGTCAATGAACTTTAGTGGTTATGGTGCTAAGAAGGTCCCTTTAAATATAGTAAGTTAACCTATAGATGAATCCCTTTTTTATTAATTGCAGAAAATGATTGCTGGCGCATACAGTATTGCTTTATGTACTTACAGGGGTTAACTGGGGATCTGGTGCAGGAGGTGGCTGATGTTGCTTTGTGACATGTTGGTACTGGGGCATAGTGGGTAGTGGTGGTTGCTTTGGCTGCTGATGGTGTGCCAAATGTGGAGAGTTTATCGGGAATCGTGGCATTGGAGGAGAAATGGTATCTTTGTGACCTTTAGCTGCATTTTGCTGAAGCCATGAGAAAGGTTGCTGGACTAGTGCATGCTGTAACTGGACCATCTGTGAGTAGTTTGGGAGGCCAAGTCCATAGAAAGATCCAACATGAGGCATCTGGGACAAGAAAGATTGACAATCAGGAGAGATCAATATTTAGAAATATAGCTTATTATGCAAATACTTGTCTAGATTTGATCAAACAATGCTCAGGAAGCACTAATTGATGCATTTTCTTAATCACAAAACTTTATGTTCAATACACTAATGCAAAAATGACCAACTTTCCTTAATCTCAGAGAACCCCTGATTTCTCCATGCTAATGTTCTCATCGCATCTTTCACTCCCTCTATCCTTTCTTCTCTCTCATTGGGAGGGCGGGGAGGGGGTGGAGATGAGAGCTCACAAAGGCTGGAGTCTCCAGTGAGGTTATGAAAAACCCTTGGTCTAGCACTCTCTCATTGTTTGCCCCAAGTCCTCTGTACTGAGAGAGCAATAACAACTCCATTTACATAATTTGTGACGGTGCCAATTTAATGCACCATATTTGAAGTTAATTATAAAGCACTGTGTAGGGCAGGCCTGAACTGGCTATCCGGCATACCAGTCAAATGCCGGTGGCCACGATGGCCATGGGCCGAAGGCAGGCAGTGCGGCCCGGCCCAATGAGGGCGTACTGTTGCATCACAGGCCGGAGGGGAGGTTAGGTCACCGGGATAATATGAGTCAGGAAGCCTCTCAGCAGCATGCAGCGCTCCCTTACGCAAGCTCTGTCAGAACAAGAGTGAGAGACATGGTCTATACTATATAACATATACTGACTGCCTATGTAGCCCACTGGACCACCAGTGATCACTGTGCTCCCTCTCCCCCTGCAAGGTAATTTTCTTTAACAATTACATTTGTAATTTAATTATTTAAGCTCTATCCTACCTCTTATATACACACTACACCCCTGCACGTCCACACAAACATACGTCACACACTCTATACCCCTATATTCGCACTACACCCCAGCACTTAACAAACATACTACTCACACTCTACACCCTTATACACACACTACACCCCTGCACTTACACACAAACACACACACACACACACACACACACACACACAAACACCTTCAATATACACATTACACCACCTACATTTACACACAAACACACTACACACACTCTATACCCCCTATATAAACACTACACCCTCTGCACTTAACAAACACACTACTCAAACTCTACACCCTTATACACACACTACACCCCCTGCACTTACACACAAACATACTACACACACTCAATACCCCTATATTCACACAACACCCCTGCACTTACACACAAACATACTACACACACTTTTCCCCCTATATAAACACTACACCCCATACACTTACACATATACACCACTCACACTCTATACCCTCATATACACATTACACCCCCATTACTTACACACACTACTCAACTACACACAATCTATATGTCTATAAACACACACTGCACACACTTTATACCATCTATAAACACACAATACAACCCTTGCGTGCACACCACACACAGTCTATACCCTATAAACACAAACATTACACCCACTACACACACAAAAATGCACTAACACCCTCTATACCACCTAAAACACACTACACTTCCTGTACAAACATTGTACCCTATACACACTCTACACCCCTATACACACACTATACTTCTATACACACACTACACCCCCTATACACACATGCACACTAAACACCCTATACAAACATTACCACACCTATACACACATATGCACTACAACCCCTGCATGCATACACACACAATGCAACCCCCTGGAGCCCCTAGATACAGACACACAGTACAGCCCTTACATGCACACACAACACCCCCTAGGCCCACACACTTTACAGGCCCTATAAACACACACACATACTTTACAGCCCAACACACACTATATCCACTAGCCACACATAGTACAACACAAACAGACCCCTTTACACACTACAATACAAAAGGACTCCTCTACACACATGCAATCCTAAAAACAACTTTCAAACAAATACAACACCACAGGTAGCATCCCCACATATGCTCAACACACTTTAACAGCCCTGTTCCACTTTTGTTCTCTGGTATCCCACTATTGGGGACACCAAAAAAAAGACGCTAACAAACACGTATGCTATAAACTTTTTGTCCCTGTTTGGCTGTAGTGTAGGGGTGTTGACACAGGTGCATGGTTTTAATACAGTTAGTTAAGGTGTTGCCTTTGAAATAAATGGATGTGGACTTAAGTAAAAGATCCAAAATGTGATAAATAGGATTATGGGAAATGTTTGCAAAATCAGCATTTCTTCACCTACTTGCATGTTCAAGTTGTTGAATGGTCCGTAAGGCATTCCCTAGTGGTACAGAACACAGTGTTATTATGGAGATTTTTTGTAAACATTTTGTTGCATGTGTGTATGAGTTTTCAACCTATATTTATGGGTTCCCGAAGGTAATTATACTTCATTTGTCTTACCTCCTCGCTGTTACTGCCCCTGTGTCCAAGGTGCATCTGAAACAGGAAGTATGTTTCATTACTAAAGTAGATGCTGGCCTACTCCCCGGTTATAGAATGTAAAATCAGTGCAAATTCTATTACCAGTACTTACAGGGAAGGCACACGATGACTGCAACAGATAAAGGATTAATATGAAAGGTGTCATTTTATAGTATTTCTTTCTGAATTTTAACTGAAATAAAAGGAAAAATGAGCTTTATTATATAATGCTGGAATGATACATGAATCGTGTGATAGTGGAGCATTATCAAACATCTTTGTTTGTCTATATTTTCCATCCCAACATATACAATCTTATTCACTGATTTGTCAGGAGTTCAAACAGAATTTAAAGTGAATTTCACACTGAGGCCAAAATAGCCAAACTGAAAACTTTCCCCCCCTAATTTGACCATTGTGGGCTGAAATTTGAGATTCACTTTGAATTGCTTATTATTACTGACTATTCATGCATTAGTGAAAAACCATAAACGAGTGTTTCAGCTGGAGAACAGATTACTCTCCCACAAGTCCATGGTAAAATTGCTTCCATTAACCCATTACATGTAGGACAGGTAAAAGGGGTGGGAGGAGTAATAAACCCTTAATTTGTTGTTGAGCCACAAATTCTGTAATGTTTTCACTTTGCAAGGCATAACCTTATTTGCTGTACAACAACATCTTGAGAAGAGTGCTTTCCAGGGGAATAAAGTGTGGGAACTCACCCAAGATCCACCACTCCCCCCCAAAAAAATAATAATATACGCTCGTATGCATATATAAACATGTGCACACACACACTGACAGGTGCACACACACTCCCAAATACACACATACACTCACAGACACACACATACACTCATACACACACACAGATACACTCACAGACACACACACTCAAACACTCACTCACACAGACACACACATACACTCACAGACACACACACTCACAGACACACACACATACACTCACAGACACACACACAAACTCACACACACATACTCAGACACACACATACACTCACAGACACACACACATACTCAGACACACACTCACAGGCAATCGTACATCACAGACACACACACATACACACACACACATACACACTCACAGAAACACACAAATTATTATTATTTGTTTAAATTTGAAAATGTCCACCCAGCCTCCCTACCTGGAGAGCTGACGCGTTACTGTCCCTGGGGTCCAGTGGGGATTCAGTGCGGCTGGCGGCTGTCTCCCTGTCAGATGCGGCGAGGAAGCTGTGTTCTCAGTGTTTTGCTCCCTCTCGCCACGCTGGCTGTCTACTGATGCTGGGAGCCAGAATATGACGTCATATTCTGGCTCCCGGCATCAGCAAACGGTGCACGAGGGAGCAGAGCAGAGAGAGCACAGCTCCCTCGCCACTTCTGACAGGGAGACAGCCGCCCGCCGGGGGGTCCAACAGGTGGCCATCATGCCACCTCTTGGGCTCCCCCATGACATGGGGAACACTGTGGGGCATTGTGGGGCGGCATTTTTTGATGCCCCTTGAGTGCCTGCAGGAGCAACGGGAACGGCGTTCCTGCTGTAAAAAAAAGTGCAGGAACGCCATTTCCACGCGTTCCTGCAGGACTCGAGCCCTGTTGCTTTCTAACCCATGCCTCTTCTTTAGGTATGGGTAGGTCTGATAAACACTTTTATTCAAATCAATTGCTTTTATAAGCTGATTTATATGATCAGATTTACTAAAGCAATCGCCATGGTTATATATATTTATGTTTATTATCTTATATAGGTTGATTAGAATGGAACTTGTTGCATTGCTTCCGTCTTGACGAAATCTTGACCTGTTTATTTTCAGATATATATTGGCACAGTTGTATGCTATGTGTACAAACCCTAATAAAACACAAATTTGAAAAAAAAATGTATAATGACGATGATATAATCAGGGAAACTGCCGTTTTTTGTGTGAAAAATGCAAATTCAGATTTAAATTCAGGTATTTTTGAATAACCTGCTTGTTTCACAGATAGCTATTCCCAGTTCACTTAGGTAGTGAAGGACCAGTGCAGAGAAGGGCTGTAAGCTGGCAAAGAGTTTGTCACACCCTATTACTAAAGATGGTAATGAAGAATCCTGCTCTGTATTGTGAATCTTCCTAACCTTTATGCAGATAACGTATCAGATTATCAGGAATATTACTCTGGGGAATTAGCATTTACCAGTGATTTAGAAGCAGCAATATATTGTTTATTCATTTGAAACATTTGCTATTTTGTCTCAAACACATCTTCAACAGTTTTAACAATTATTAAGCAAAAGTAAAATTGTACTTTTACTTAAGCACTACCCCCCTGTATTGACTATGTTTGTTTGGTAGTCTGTCATTGGTTTTTGACAGGATTCAAGCACACCATGGGGTGTAGATGCTATTACTCAACTTCATGGACTACTGTAGGCACAAAAAATAACTTTAGCTTTATGATGCCGTTTTGCAGTCTCACTGCTTAATTCTTTGAAATTAAGAAGTTAAATCACATAGTTTATGCAGCCCTAGCCACACCTCCTAGCATGTGACTTGCAAAGCCTGCTTGACCACTTCCTGTAAAGAGTGATCTAATGTTTAAACTTAATTTATTGCACAGTCTGTTTAATCTAGAATTTCTTATCTCCCTCTCAGTTAGCTAGAAGCTGCAGCATGCTTCTATGTGTGTGTGGTTAAAGCTTAATTTACAGAGCAGTAGATAAAACTAAGTAAGTTTAAACTCTGATTGGAAATGAAACAATTTCATTCTAGCTGTATGGGTTACAAGCAGGTTAGGTGTGGCTGCATAGACAGAAACAAAAGAGATGGCAGAGATTTGAGCTGTAATACTGCAGCAGTATGATCAGGAGACACCAAAACTGCTTCATTTAGCTAAAGTTGTTTTGGTAGCGATACTGTTTCTTTAAGTTTTGATTGTAAGCTTGTTTGAGCTGGGCCCTCTTCACTTACTGTTCTCATATGTCATATATGTTTTGTTAGAATTAAATGTATGGCTGCAAAATATGTTGGTGCTATATATATATATATACATAATTGTAATTAATGGTAAACATTTTTCTTTACTTCTAAAGACTAAAAGTTAGAGTGCTGAGTGAACCTTGCCATATATATAAAATGCAAAATACTCAAATTGGGCAAAAACAGTAAAATAAATGCATTAGGATGTTACATCTTAAATACATTGGGAGCATTGACAGTTAAGAGGCAGATGGGATTTAACAAATATGCTGCTTAGCATCATAAATAAACTTCAATACTTAAATAGATTGCTTTATGGGGTGATCAATAAACTGGAATTGTTAAAAAATAGTCTTTCTAATATTATGGAGTTCCATTTGGACGCTGTAATTGGCAGTATATATATTATATATTTTTATGTATATAACTATGTATATATATATATTTTTAAATAAATGGCAACCCGTTAATCAATTTATCAAGTATATTTTCCAGCTATATCTAATATATAAATTAAGTGCCTGCTAAATAATTTGTCTCTGGTGATGTGAAAGATTACCATTGATGATGTTGAATAGGTAACTAAACAGACAATGGGAAAATGAAGCAAGTAATTGCTATAGACTTTCAACAAATAGTAAAAATGAACATAAAATGACACATTACCTGAGATTTCTATATTGTGTCCTTGGAAAAGCAGATCTGTTGATCATAAAACTGTACACTTTTATGTTTGCCACATTCCAGCATTTAAGAAGTTTTGCTAGGGTTTTACAGGACCAATCACCAGTCCCAAAATTTAACTTAGTGAATTGTAATTTTATAACAAATATGTCATTATAAGTCTTTCTAAAGAAGATTGTATATTATAGGTAATTACTAGTTAGTAAATTTAGCTTAGTTTATGGGATGGACTGCAAATCAAACACTTCTACAACTCAGAATCTCAGCATCATAAAGTCATTTCTTGCAGTCAGCAAAACTGTAGTTAGATATCTGTTAAGACTTGACTTATTTTATTGTATGTGTGTATGTTTCTATTTATATATATCTATAGTAGACAAGCTGCAATTGAAAACAAATAATTAGTTAACTGCTAACCACCTCAAATCAATATATTACAAAAATCAATATATTACTATTCTGATGTAATAAAGGGAAATTATATGCACCCAGATCAATGAATCTCAAGGAAGTGGTTTGGGTGCAATGTTCACGTAGCTTTGTTTCTGCAGAACGGCAGTGTTTACATAGCAGGGCTAAATGCTTCTAGTGGCTGTCACTCTGACAGCCAGTAGAGGTGCGTCTAAGAAATAGCAAAGTAAAACTCTGCCATTTCAATTAGATGGTCTCATAGAGAAATGTATCTTCACTTTATTGTTTTGAATGTGTCTAAAGGGTGTCTAATGGAACATGTTTGTGTCATAATTTGTTCGGGTACCAAGGATCGTTTGCGTACCGAGACATTTTTTTACGCAAAATTTTAGTTAGACTACCAAATTGTTCGAGTACGGGACCGTTCGAGTTCTGAGGCTCCACTGTAATTATTTTAGGTCATCTCATTGGAAAACAGCTACTATTCCTTTTATGAATAGGTGTTGCGTAATACTCTAGAAACCAAGAGATGTGAATTAGCCTTTAGATCACCTTCTGTTAGCTCTCAACACAGTGTGCACATGGTTAAAGCATCAAGATACTGTTAGACTCCAACTATTTCATCTACTCTTGATTCACTATTAGCTTTCAGCACACAGTGTACACATGGTCAAAGCAGCAGGATACTGATAGCAATATAATTAATCTGCAGTGCTAATATGGAGCCAAGAAGTAACTGGCATGGTCAAAGGAACACTATAGTCTAAAATAAAGCAGTTTTCGTGTATAGATTATTCCCCTGCAATTTCACTGCTCAATTCACTGTCATTTAGGAGTTAAATCACTTTGTTTCTGTTTATGCAGCCCTAGCCACACCTCCCCTGGCTATGATTGACAGAGCCTGCATGAAAAAAAAACTGGTTTCACTTTCAA